TGGCCGCCGGGCGGTCCCCCAGCCCTTCCTCTTCGGCGCCAGTTCCTGCTTGGGCTGCCGACCTGGTGGGATCCCGGTGGGCGATGCTCGCCCAGGCACCGGTTCCGCTGCTGCTGCTGCTGCTGAGCGGGCTGGGCTCGTGCCGGGGCGCCCACCCGGCAGGGCGGCCGCCGCACTTGGTGTTTGTGCTGGCCGACGACTTAGGCTGGAACGACGTGGGCTGGCATGGCTCGGAGATCCGGACGCCGAACTTGGACGCCTTGGGGGCGGGCGGCGTTCGCCTGGAGCGCTACTACACGCAGCCGTTGTGCACCCCGTCCCGCAGCCAGCTGCTCACCGGGAGGTACCAGGTAGGAGGGGGAAGGCGGGAAGGCGGAGCGGGCGGGACGGCGTGGGAAAGGAAGGCAGAGGACCTCCAGATGCCCCGGGGACTCCCGTGCACGTCAGCCCTCTAAAAGGAATGTGCTGTGATGGGAATTGTAGTCCTCCATCATCTAACGGGAGTCTGTGCAGGAACTTTGGCCACGGCTGTCCTCTGTCTTTCCTGCAGGCAGTGGGTTCAGGAGAGCCTTTTGAGAATCCCGAGCTTCCCAGCTGAACTCCCCAGCTGTCATGCTTGGTCTCTCGCTCAGTGGCGACCAATATTTGCGAAGTAGGGCTGTCTTGAGAAGCATCTGAACTTGTGGCTGGAGGAACTCAACTCTTTCCGTGTGCAAATGACGAGGAAGAGTCGTTTGCGTGTGTATTTGGGTTCAGCACACGTGACCAGACACTATCCTGCACGGAACTGATTGTACAGTACTGTATGTTGTTTTTTTTCTGAATAAAGTTTGAATTTTAAGGTTGTTGAGAAGTGCGAAGTATTTTTAGCGATATGGACTTCTCAGCTAGTTACTCTTAAGATTCGTCCTTAATGCTTAAGAAGATGGCATCTGTGTGTGGGTGGATATACTCTGAATTTTAAAAAAAACACCCAGATTTAAATCAAATTGTAAAAGTGTGTGAGAGGGTATAGCATAGTTGTGGGTGTCAAAGGTAAGTAATCAGCAGGTTCGGAGAGACCTCTAGTGGCATTTTAAACTATTTCAGAAGGATAGCAAGGTAGTGTATACAAAACAACCCACTCCTCTGGTGCTTTGAAAACTAAGAAATATGTTGCACTGTGATGTGTGGAATGTTGGCAAGAGTTTTCTGTACAACACACATTGATGGGAGGGAGTTGAAAATAGCAAATTCAGAGGAATAGAGTAGTACAAATTGTGGGAAGTGCAAATAGATTATAAGTATCGTCGTTGTTGTTGTTTAGTCGTTTAGTCGTGTCTGACTCTTCGTGACCCCATGGACCAGAGCACGCCAGGCCCTCCTATCTTCCACTGCCTCCCGGAGTTGTGTCACATTCATGTTGGTTGCTTCACAGACATTGTCCAGCCATCTCATCCTCGGTCGTCCCCTTCTCCTCTTACCGTCACACTTTCGCAACATCAAGGTTTTTTCCAAGGACTCTTCTCATGAGATGGCCAAAGTTCCTTATAAGTATCAGTCATGAACAAAATTGTTGGTGGTAACACAAGCATCTTACCGGTAGCTAGTTAAGTTAATTAACACATGTACTTTAATAAGAAGCTATTATGTCCATTTAGTCCTCTGTTGAAAGTTTGAAACTTCCAAATAAATTATAATCTTCAGACCTTTATTCTAATTTCCTTTTAAGTTCATGTGTTTCCCCTCCTCGGTTCTGTTTTATTCTGAACTTCCGCAGTGTGACATGGAAAATAAAATGTAATTGGAAACATCCAGTTTGACTAATTTCTGCTTGTTAGTAAGGTCTTTAGTAATGTGTTCCTTTTGTAATCTTCCCCCATCTTGGGAAAAAAGCCACAAGAACCTTTTTCTGATTGCAAACTAGTATATTAAAAAAAATCAATGGCAGAAATGCGGGGAGGGAATGGTGAATTAATGTTTAACGTGCTTTCAACATGCACAACTGACATAACTTTCTGTAATTATTGCTCTACATGGTGTGGAGAAATTTTTCTGAAGTGGGTTTGTAATTTTCAGGAAGTTTTAGGTCTTAGGCCTTGGGACAGAGAAAAAGCAACACTGAGTTTGCAACTAAAGTGTTTGTTTTAAAAGCTCATATACGTCTCTGAGTTGCCAGAAATCGGCTGGCCATCAACTGATAAAAGAAGGGTTCCTGTGTGGGAGAAACTGTATGTAATGTCCAAAACTTAGAATGTGTTTAGAATTTGATACGTTCACTTAATAAGTGTAGTTTTCTCCCTTTTCATGAAGGTTTGTAATCATATTTAGCCATAAATATGTTTTATGGTTGTTGTTGTTTGGCGAAGGGAACCAAAGGTTGTTGTTTTTCTTGTTTGGCGGAGGAAACCAAAAATGCCAAGATCTTCTAAACTTCCTGTGAGGAAGAAGGGGTGAGGACAGTGCCATGTACCAGAGTGCCACCCCTATGCCTTGAAAGGTGAAGGAGACCCAGGAAAAACTGGAGGAAAGACCAAAGATGCCAGAGAAGGAGAATGAACGAATGAATTTATTTATTTATTACGGTTGAGTGACCAGCTCATAAAACATATTTATGGCTAAAATATACAGAATGCAATTTAACAATAAGATGAGGAGGAGATCCATTGCCAATCAAAACGAGGATAGATCAGCAAAACTTTGAAGCAGTTCCAAATTTTGACGAGGCCTGGAAGTGCCAATTTAGTGGTGGCCATTATGTTCAAAACAGAATGATCTGACACAGGGTTGATAGATCTCCAGAGAAGGAGAAGGCCCCTAATGGAATAACAGAAACAGTGGAAGAGAAAAGGGCTGGAAAAGAAAAGGAGGGGAAAGGGAGGAAAGAGGAGGATATAAAAGAAGTGGTGTTTGGGGGCAGTTGGTGTGAGAAGGGAGAAGAAGTAGAAGCAGGAACTGTGGAAGTTAAGAAGGGAGAAAAAGTACTGCCTGAAGGATGAGAGTAGTAGTAGATGGAAAAAATTTGGACCCATAAGTGGGAAAGATTGATTATCTCATGGGAGGAGGCAGACAGGAAGAAACCGCCCCGGGAAGCCATTTAACTGGGGAGAAAGAAATTTTCCAAGTTCTGATCATGATACTTATTTTAAAAATTGCAGCCAAGATTCCAAGCCGAAAACAATGGAGAAGATAAATGGATGAATCCACATGCGTACCAAAGCTACTTATAAGTACCCAAAATAAGATGCAATCTTTCTTTGGGGCAGATTACTGTTGACTGAAATAACACTAAACGTTTCTAAAAAGCAGTTGAAAAGATGTGAAAATCATCAATGAGGAAGAGAAACTATTCCATCAGAATTCTACACCTATGAAAAAGAAAACAAATGCAGTTACAAGATGGGGAATATGTAGCCCAGTAATATTGCTTGCAAGAAGGATCTTGGAATTGTTGTAGATTGCAATAAAGCTGAATATGAGCCAACAGTGTGATGCAGCTACAAAAAAGATACATGCTATTTTAGGCTGCATTATCAGATTTATAGTCTCCAAGTGAAGTACTAGTTCCCCTCTATTTGGCACTAGTTAGGCATCTTGAGTACTCTGTCTAGTTCTGGATACCACACTTTAAGAAGAATGCAGACAATCTGAAACAACTTCAGAGGAAGGCAAAAAAGGATGATTATGGCAGGGGTCCCCAACCCCCGGTGTCTGGCCCAGTGCCAGTCCGTGGCCTTCTTGGAACTGGGCCACAGAGATGGATCTCCGCCCCCACGCACGCACGCACTCATGGTGGCCGTGTTGCGGTCACGGAGGGGTGTTTCATGCTTGCGTGTTGCGTTTGGGCGCATGCACTACTTCCCCCTCCGTGAGCGCGACACACCCAACCGAGAGTGTCACACACCCACCTGCAAGTGTGGGGGTGCCCCCACCCCCTCGCACACGAGCCTGCACCCCCCAACTGGTCCACGGTCCCTAAAAGGTTGGGGACCGCTAGATTAGGGGATTGGAAACCAAGTTCTATGAGAAAAGAGTAAACGAACTGGCCATGTTTGGCCCTGAGAAATGAAGACAAGGGGAGATATGGTACGAGCCCTTTTCAAATACTTGAAACATAGTCAAAGGAGGGACAAGATCATCTCAGGGTGCAGGACACATAATAGGCTCAAGCTATAGGAAGCCAGATTTCAGTTGAATATTAGGTCCTAACATGCTAACTGTTTAAACACTACAACAGTAGAACCAATTACCTTGGGAGGTGGTGAGTGCTTCAACATTGGAGGCATTCAAGAGAAAGTTAGAGAAGTATCTAATTTGGATTCCTGCAGTGAGCAGGGGGTTGGACTCAATGACCACATAAGCCTATTCCATCTCTAGTATTCTATATATTACATAACTCCTGCTTGCAAGTTTCTCCAGGAAGCTGTTATTCCATACTTTCAGTATTCTTACCCTGTATGGCAAGAGTTTTCCAGGGCTCATTTGGTTGTTGCCCAGATTATTACTTTATATTACTGAGGAAATGTCCAAGCCCTGGGCTTAAAATTGTTCCTTCCTAATCTTGCACTTTTGGGTTAACAAAGGAGCTCTTTGGCTGCTCAGTGTCTTTTTTCCCCTCCAGAATGTTTTGCAGTCTTATTGCAAAAGCCACATATTGTTGGCCCATTTTCACACCTAGCCGCAAAGCCACTTCCCTCTTCCTTCACTTTTTTAAAAAAATGGTTTTTAATTAATTTTCAGAGGGGATAGGGGTTAAGGTAGAAATAGGGGGACCAGGTAGAAGGGTAGGGTAGGGTAAGAAAGTATTCTTACATCCACTTATACAATTACATTAAAAGGGGAAATCGTACAAAGAAAAAAAACAATATAGTAATTTTCCAAGATATTTATAGTTACTAATCTTCAATTTTCTTGGACCTTCTCTTTCTTTTTATCTTTAAATTTATTAATTGGATAGCTTTGATATTATTCTGCCAAGTTTATATCTATTGCTCTAAATCAGTGTTATAACCATTAGTGTCCATTTTATCATATATTCTTTCTCCATAAAATACCTTCTTAAATTTAACATTTCCATCTTTTGATAGTGTCCATTTTATCATATATTCTTTCTCCATAAAATACCTTCTTAAATTTAACATTTCCATCTTTTGATCATCTATAGCAGTGCTCCCCAACCCCTGGTCCACAGCCCGGTGCCACTTCGTGGGCTTCCTGGAACTGGGCCGCGGACACAGATCTCCGTCCCCCACATGCACATTGGGCTTGTCACACTCATGGAAGGGCATGTTGCCCCCATGCACGTGTGCGTGAACATGACACACGCAAGCATGATGTGTCCCCGCCCCCTGCACACAGAGCCCTCACCCCCAACTGGTCTGTGGTCCCAAAAACATTGGGGACAGCTGATCTATAGAACATCTTATCTATCTGTCTTATTTCCTGCTACAGGAAAAAGAAGCGAGTGGTGCCTTCAGTTACAAACTTAATTGGTTTCAGAAGATGATCGTAACTCAAGCTGGTCATAATTCAAAGCACCATATCCCATAGGAATACATTGAAACCCCATTAATCCGTTCCGGCCAGGGGGAAAAACCCACCGAAAAGCACACACACACCGCAAGACCCATTGGAAACGTGATTAATCCGTTCCGGCTGAAAAAAAAAACACACATCAACAAACCCCCCAAACACTGCAAGACCCATCAGAAATGCAATTAATCCGTTCTGGCTGGAAAAACACAGAAAAACAAACAAACACTGCAAGACCCATCAGAAATGCAATTAATCCGTTCTGGCTGGAAAAACACAGAAAAACAAACAAACACTGCAAG